CTGGTGTAACATAAAATTACAAGAAAAGAATCGAAGTTTTTTAAAATTCTCAATAACTCAAAATTTTATTTATGAAACCGCCTTACGTGTCCTAAAAAAAAAATTCCTTGCAAAATTTTAGTATAGCATATGTTTTGTTAAACCTTTATACTGCTCTAACGATTTGATTGCGTACTGTTATCGAAAGTTTCAAAGTTTGACGAAATGTGTTTCATCCAATCAAAAGCGGGATTTCTATGCATCCAATAGGAACTGGTGGGGAAAATCCACAAATCGGATTTCAAGAATCAAGTGTAACGTAACACGATCAGGAAATTTCAAACCCCAAATTTTGCCCCAAATCGCCTATTTCTCAAGAATCGGTATAAAAAAACCACCATTAGTGCTCTAACAAAAAGTTTTCCTTAAGTGATTTTACTATATAACCACATAATCTCTAACCACCTAATCTCTAACTTCGTTCTAAACGCTAACCCTAACATTAACTTATTTTCAAATTTTTTACTGCGTCACAATGATCGACATAACCCGGCACAGAAAGTAGGGATGCGACGTTTTAATAGATGAGATTTCTCTAACAAAAGTTAAATCTTTTTCACAATGTCTTCGTCACTTAGTCTAATTGTTCGGATTTCATGTCCCTTATTGCATACTTTCCGATCAAGAGTGTATCTTTCACCTACTTATTCCATTCATAAAAGATCCTTGATAAGCAAGACCAATTTTAGGATCTCTTCGGGAGATGAGACAGACTTGATTCTCATTAATCCTTCAGCGTCAAAATTCCTAAAAAAAGATCTTTGCACTGAAAATAGTTTTTCGCCCAGCTTCATCTGAAGATGCTGTCATTCCGGCAGTTATTGGTATGTTTAGTGTCTTTTTCTCTCTGTGATCGCACACTAACAATTTCAAATTATTGTACAGTCGAAAATTATCCGGAAAAATATGAGATCCCCGAAATCGACACACTAGTTCTTAGTAATCCAGATTTCAATGTTAACGATCTCAAAGGAATTCAGGATTTACATGTCAAAACATTTATCGACAAACTGCACGATGTAATCAAGAATTCAACGGTTGCTAAAGGCACGGATGAGTCTACAACTGACAGTTTAGTATCAGGTATACTACATCATGTTGCCGATATGGATTGTTGGCCCTTTAAAATTCGGTGAGTGCCACCGAAAATATTCTTTTCGTGAAACAATTCAATAGTTCCTTAAATTTTGCATGTAAAAAATCTAGCCATCATCCATTTTGCGAACTAGTTATTGGTGGTGAATCTGTGACAGCGAGGCCTAGATTTGTGATTGATAAGGATCGGATTGCTATAGTTGCTATAGAGGTCTGTATGTTTCCTAATGTTCAACAGTTCAAATTTTTGTTCGCTTAGCTAATTTGTTTAAACAGGATAAACACTTAACAAATAAAATGCTTACTAAAACGACTGATTACGGAGAAGTACAACTTGCTGCTGAAATACTCGCTTGTGGTAGTGTAAATTTACGTGAGATTTATGAGGGTGAACATGTTGATCAAGAAATATTTGCCATTCGTGTTATATCTACTTATTTTACATTTTACCGTACTGTAATTGCTGCATCTTATTGGGAAGAACTTGATCTTGGCCTGCCAAAAGATCAGTTAGTAGTGATTGAAAGATGGCCACCTAAAAATGGTAAAGATGAAGGTTTAGATATTTCGAAAATCGGAGGAAGAAAAGCGGTTCTAACGGCGTTGGCCAAAATTCGAAAATATCTTTTGCAGTAATTATTATGATACGATTCATTTGACTGTACATAGAACCACTTTTTAATATACTTTAATTTAGCAAAATTTCTGAAATTAAAATCAAAGAAATCAAAAGTCCAACAATATTATGTAAAAATTGGCTGTGAATAACCAGTGTAATACATAATGCTCCAGTTTTTTGATAAAAAGCATTTGAGGTTTTACTTTTATTCAATGAGACCCAATTCTCGAAGGCTGTGAAGGTGCTATGTGTAAAGTTTCTGATATGCATTCACATCCCTGCTTGGCCACATATATCATCCAATAAAATACAAAATTTTGCGGACATGCATCATTTAATTTGCAATAACCACACACTTCGTGAAATTTTCAATATCACTCCGTTCCTGGTATTATAGAAAATTTTGAAATGATACAGTACGAAGATACATATGTATTAAGATAATTTCGTACTGGATTGTATAGACTGTGAAGTAAAGATCAATACAGTACGAACAATGTATGTACCGTAAATGCCAAATCGCTAACTATCAATCAGGGCACGGTTATAGATTATTCGACCTTTTGATCTCATTTTATTTTGACACATCTATGCAATGTAAACAGCCGACTTTCTTTATATTAACTTTTTTTATAAAGAGCTTACTCTATAATAAACTTTATTTAACAAATTTATTATAGAGTCAGTATAGAAACATAGTAAATTACTTCGACAATAAACTTTAAAAATTCTTATTATAAGAACTGTCAGTTCATTTTAAAAAGTTGCCTGTATA